GTGGGAAGGTAACAGCATTCTGTGCGCCTTCGGCGTTTAGTCATGCCGGCCACATGACCACGGAGACGTCTTCGGACAGCGCTGACATATTGGCTTTGAAATGGAGATGAGCACCTCTCCCTAGAATCAGGAATGACTAGCACATATGTGCAAGGGGAAGCTTTATTTTTTTACCTTTTTATAGAAAATGCAGACCTATGCAATCGTTTATCCATTCAGGAAAACATGAGGCATAAACAGCAGCCAGCTAGAAATTACTAATCTCATAAGCAGCTCACTGTTGGAAGAACTAAAAGACCAGGTTAGGGATAGATCATCATGGGGAAAAAATGGTCTGTGGGGTTGCTAAAAGTTGAGAGCAACTTGAAGGAACATAATCAATGAATCAATCCATCAAACCAACAGCTAGCCTTGATAGATAACCATGTGGCAGCATCTGACTGATCACAAGAAGTGCAAACTTGAGTTGAGGCATTAAACATGATGTCAGAGAAAAGAATAAAACACACAGTAAAATCATTCCACACAAATTCCCCACAGGATTAGCACCATCTCTCTCCAATGCACTTCTGAGTAAATTATTAATATATGTACTAAGTCTGGTTTATGCATGCTTAAAAATATTCTGAGTTTGCATTATGCAAGATGTTATTCGTAAATATGTTGCAGTTTATATGCGTGAGTAATCCCCACTCCTAAAATTGGGAGGATGTTTATGCTGAAAAGTGTTTCAAAGGTCTATTATCCTTAAAGTCCTGGGCTACAGTTTCATACATATTGAAGAGCTTGCTTTCCTTTTCCATAATTCATTTTAATTGGGAGAACTTTTGTGCAGAAAAGATCCCTGTAGATTACTCTTCACTGAAACTGAAATCAAAGTTGACCAAATCATAATGAGCTGCTATCTCAATACGAAGTTACAGTATCTCCAGAATATAGGTTAGGTTAGGTTAGGTAGTTTTATTTATATGCCGCCCTTTTCCCTGGGGGGACTCAGGGCGGCTTACAGTTCAAAGGAAGGGAGGACATACAAATTAAACACATAANGGCGGAGTTCCCTGGTTTCCCGCCTATTTTTTCTCTGCGTGCTGTGTGCGCCCTGTGCTCTCTGATTTACCTCAGGATGTCCCTGCTGTGTTGATTTCTTGTTTTCTTTATTGTAAATATATTTATTTATATAAAATAGGTTCATGTCAGTCTTTCTGACTCCATTTCGACACCGGCTGTGCAATTCCCTGACAGGTTATGGGCCCAGAAATGCCCTGAAGAGCCAGTAGTATATATATATATATATATTTTGAGGTAAAAGTTTCTTCGTGAACCTGTGGGAGCTTGAGGACAACTGGCCTGTGAAGACTGCAAGATGCTCGTTGTGACAGGAGGAGGATTTTCTGTGGCTCCTCTTAGTGAAACAAATTATTTCTCATATGTCCCTGTTTGCTTGCCTTATTTACTGTAAATACATTGATTTATATAAAACTGATTCACCTCAGCATTTTTTGACTCCGTTTGGACACCGGCTGTGTAATTCCCTGGAAACCTTGCATTATTAGAATTTATGAAAAGCCGAAGGAAGGATTCGTTCAGAAGGGCTGAGCTATGTTTCTCTTGCGCTTTCCCCTCCAGCCCATCTTAGACACGGAGGATCCTGACAACCGGAATGCTGGTTATCATGGCCTGAAACGGGGGCAGGATTGTCCCTGTGCCATCCGAGGCTCTGGAATGGCTGGGGTGGGATGGGGGGTGTCTGCTGCTATGCCCCCCTTGAGGACTGCAGATGCTATCCATGGGCAACCTGGTTTTCTGCCATACGGAAGCAAGAAAAGAATAAGAGAGAAGGAATAACGTCCTCACAATTGCTCCACACTTTACACCCCCATCTAACCAACTCGGAGAAAAGACAGAAAAGTCAATTTGATATTCTTCATTTGAGTGTACAAGTAGTCCTCGCCTAACGGCCTTTATTTTAGCGACCGTTTGAAGTTACTGACATGTGATTTACGATCGCTTTTCAGTTATGAGCTTTGCAGCATCCCCGTGGTCACATGATCAAAATTCAAACGCTTGGCAAGTGACTCATATTTACGACCGCTGCAGTGTCCCAGGATCATGTTATCCCCGTTTTGCGTCCTTCCGACAAACGAAGTCAATGGGAAATCCAGGTTCACTTAACAACTCTGATACTAGCCGAGGTGGCGCAGTGGTTAGAGTGCAGTACTTCAGGCAACTTCAGCTGACTGCTATCTGCAGTTCAGCGGTTCAAATCTCACCAGCTCAAGGTTGACTCAGCCTTCCATCCTTCCGAGGTGGGTGAAATGAGGACCCAGATTGTTGTTGGGGGCAATATGCTGACTCTGTAAACCGCTTAGAGAGGGCTGAAAGCCCTATGAAGCGGTATAGAAGTCTAACTGCTATTGCTATTGCTACTAACGTAATAACTGGAGTGATTCGCTTATTTGACCTACAACCATCATTTAGTGACTGTTCAAAGCGACATTGGCACTGAAAAAAGTGACTTATGACCAGTTTTCACGCTTGTGATTGTTGCAGCATCCCCATGGTCCCGGGATTTATGACGGTTGCAGGATCCTGGGTTATGTGATTCCCTTTTGCGACCTTTTGACAAACAAAGATAATGGGGAAGCCAAATTCATTTAGCAACCATGGTCCTAACTCAGGAACTGCAGAGATTATGCTTAACAACTCTGGGGGGGAAAATATGGGAGAAAACTCACTTAACAACTGTCTTGCTTAGCAACAGAAATTTTGAGCTTAATTGTGGTTGTAAGTCGAGGACTACCTGTATAGAGCAGGGCACAGAGATGAATCAGGAATTGTCAGGACCTGAGAACAAAGAATGACACACAGTAATTCTGCCAAGGAGATTCCTTGATAGTTCAATACCTTGAAACGGAATCTTGCCGAATCAAAGTAGATTACCGTCTCTGAGGCTCATATTATCTGCCAATTACAAGGGATGAGCCATCTTGAGCCTTTTTCCGTACGTATAATATCTACACTAAGTTGCCTCTTCCTCCTCTGGAATGGACCCCTCCCCCCCCCGCCCCGGAATCTTCCCCATTTTACTCCCACACGGGAACCTCCCCCCCCCGCCTCCCGAAGGAGATTCAGCCTCTCCCATTGAGGGAAGGCTGCTAAAGATGCTACCCCCCCCCCCACAACCCCAACCGCCCCAGAGGGCAAAGAGACCCTGCAATAAAAGAGGTTGTGGCCTTCCTTCCCGGCGGTGGCTTTGACACTACAGGTAGTCCTCGAGTTACGACCACAATTGAGACCAGAATTTCTACGGCTAAGCAAGGCAGTGGTTAAGTGGATCTGTTTTTATGTCCTTTTTTTGCCACGGTTGCTAAGCGAATCGCCCGGTCGTTAAGCGAAGCCAGCTTTCCCCACTGACTTTGTTTGTTCGAAGGTCGCAAATGGCATTCACGGGACCCCAGGACAGGGCAACTGTCATAAATCCATACTGGTGGCCAAGTTCTGATCATGTGACCACGGGGATGCGACGACGGTTGTAACCGTGAGGACTGGTTGTAATGTAAGCCACATGTTTCAACGCTGTTGTAACTTCGAACGGTTACTAAATGAAGGGCCGTAAGACAAGGATGGGACCATGCTGGAGCTAATAGCCAACTCTTCAGAAGATCGGCCCAAGAAGGAGTTAAACAGACTTGAACTCAGGGCTTCTATGGAGCGAAATAGCAATAGCAATAGCAATAGCGGTTAGACTTATCTACCGCTTCATAGGGCTTTCAGCCCTCTCTAAGCGGTTTACAGAGTCAGCATATCGCCCCCACAGTCTGGGTCCTCATTTTACCCACCTCGGAAGGATGGAAGGCTGAGTCAACCCTGAGCCGGTGAGATTTGAACCGCTGAACTACAGATAGCAGTCAGCTGAAGTGGCCTGCAGTGCTGCATTTAACCACTGCGCCACCTCGGGTGAGAAAAATGTGCAGGAGCAGCTCAGGTGAGACCTGGCTCAATTCTCAATCCAGGTTCTGTTCCTGTTCACAGATGCGTGTGTGTTTTGTGATCTCCCCCAGTTCCTTCTCTCCACTTCCAGGGACGGCCACGCCCCCCATCCAGAGTTTCCGTCTTTCTTGTCGACAATTGTGAAATCTGGAACCCTGTTAAGGTTGCCCCATTGATCGCCCAGCCACCTCAGGCTTCCATAGATGCAGGATCTGGAGCCGTGGTGATTACAAAGAGGTTTCGGTCGGGCGCCCTTTGAATACGGTGCCCCCCTCTCAAGGGAGGGGCTGCTTGGAGGTCCCCTGCCCACCCCTGGCCTTAGGGGCCGGGCACAGAGCCAAGGGACATGGGGCAACAGAAGACAGAGGGAGGGGGGTGGAGGGAGGCCCCCTCCCTCTGCATGCGAGGAGACCAGGCTTTGCAAGCAAGGCAACCTCAGGGATAGGATGGGAGACCACCAGGAGAGGCCAGGAGGAGGGGGCAAGGGGAGGGCAAGAGGACAGCAGAGTTGCTGGGGGCCAAGTGTAAGTCCCTGAAACCAACTTCCAACTATTTATTGTATTTCCTTCCTTCCTTCCCTTCTTATCTATCTACCTTCCTTCACCTCCTTCTCCTTCCCATCTCCTTCCCAGCCTCCCTCCCTCTTTCCTTCCTTCCTTCCTTCCTTCCTTCCCTTTCCCTTCCTCCCTCCCTCCCTTCTTACCTACCTTCCTTCCTTCACTGCTTCCTTCCTTCTCCTTCCCATCTCCCTCCGTCTCCCTCTTTCCTTCTTCCTTCCTTCCTTCCTCCCTCCCTTCCTTCCTTCCTTCTTTCCTTTCCCTTCCCTCCCCCCTCCCTCCCGTCCTCCCTATCTATCTTCCTTCACTGCTTCCCTCTTTCTCCTTCCCATCTCCCCCCTCCCTTCTTTCCTCCCTCCCTCTTTCCTTTCTTCTTTCCTTTCCCTTCCCTCCCTCCCTTCTTGCCTATCTACCTTCTTCCTCCACTGCTTCCCTCCTTCTCCTTCCCATCTCCTCCCTCCCTCCCTCTTTCCTTCCTTCCTTCCTTTCTCTTCCCTTTCCTCCCTCCCTTCTTTCCTATCTACCTTCCTCCACTGCCTCCCTCCTTCTCCTTCCCATCTCCTTCCCACCCTCTTTCTTTCTTTCTTTCCTTCCTTCCTTCCCTCCCTCCCTCCCTCCTTGCCTATCTACCTTCCTCCACTGCCTCCCTCCTTCTCCTTCCCATCTCCTCCCTCCCTCCCTCTTTCCTTCCTTGTCAGCCAGGAGGGGGGGCGAGAGGGTGGCAGCGCTGCGTGTGATCGAGGCTGTCCCACGCGGGGGCGGGGCAGGGGCCGTCCCAGGAAAAAGGAAGGGAGCGCTGGCGGTCCGCGGGGTCAGCTGGCGAGGCCGCGCCGGGGATCGGGCCATGGAGGCGGCGGGGGCGCTGGGGGCCGGAGTGGCGCTGCTCCTGGGGCTCTACGCGCTGCTTTACTACAACTTCGTGGCGGCCACCCGGTGTCGGAACACGGTCAGCCTGCGGGGCAAGACGGTGCTCATCACAGGTCAGCTGGTGGGGGGGCATTGCCTTCCTTCCTTCCTTCCTTCCTTCCTTCCTTCCTTCCTTCCTTTCTTTCTTTCTTTCTTTCTTTCTTTCTTTCTTTCTTTCTTTCTTTCTTTCTTCNGAGCAGGTGGCTCAGTGGCTAAGACGCTGAGCTTGTCAAGCAGAAAGGTCAGCAGTTCGGCGGTTCGAATCCCCAGCGCCGCGTAACGGAGTGAGCTCCCGTGACTTGTCCCAGTTTCTGCCAATCTAGCAGTTCGAAAGCAGGTAAAAAAATGCAAGTAGAAAAATAGGAACCACCTTTGGTGGCAAGGGAACGGCATTTCGTGCGCTTTCGGGGGCGTTGAGTCATGCCGGCCACATGACCACGGAGACGTCTTTGGACAGCGCTGGCTCCTCGGCTTTGGAACGGAGAAGAACATCGTGCCCTACAATTGGGAACGACTAGCACATATGTGCGAGGGGAACCATTACCTATGAAGATCAGCGACAGTGGAAGCACGAGATGGAAACGGCTCCTTTTGGCAGGGGAAAGACGGCCCGTCTGCGTATGATTTTACAGCTTAAGTCAACCGATTTTTGGAATTAGTGGATTAAAAGTTAAGTCCTTCTTCCAAAGCTTCCACAGGTATGGAAGGACGCTTGAAGGAAGGAAAACGGACCTCCACTGAAAAGGACCGCCTTGAAGAGCAATGGCCAACTTGGTGTGCAAGAAAGCAATCAACCAACCAACAAGATGTGGATTATTATAGCACATGCGCAACCTTCTTCCCTGTTGCTATTTGGGCAACTTGTACCCACTGAATTCGAAAGCTAACAGAATCACACAACCTCTGAGAGCTTGGCAAACTGTTCGTCTCTATGGACATCTGTTAATATTTGCGTCTGACACCAACTGAGATGTAGATTTGAGTCTGACACCAAAGCCGATGTATATAAGAGCATTTGCCCAACATATTCAGGGTGGAGGACTCCAGGTTTCTGCAACCTAATGCTCTCCAGACAAGCCAGAATCACAAAATCCCAGATTTTTCTGCCTGGCCAAGTGCAACGATCGGGGGTGCTGGCTGGAAGTTTTAGGGAGTGGCAGTTATGAAGGGCACGAGGTTGAGAAAGGCTACGGAAGTCCAACTAGCAGGGAAGTCTCCGGAATTTCAGCAACAAGGTATTTGCAAAGCAATTACACTGTGTTTTGTGTTGTGGCCCAGCAGGAGCCGTTGGAGCTGCCACCAGACTCCGACACCGAGGGGCCCTATGAGTCGGCCCTGGAGCATGTGGAGGACCCTGGACAGGGTTCCGACTCCGAGCGGGGCGCAGAGAGGCTGGGTGGCCACCAGGTGGCACCTGAGCCTTGGATCAGTGGGGAGGAGACAAGGGAGAGTGATCCAGAAACCAACAGTGAGTTGTTCCGCGTCGAAGAGCTACTCGGCGGCAAGAACAACTACTTAATTACAGGAGGTAATTATGCTCAGCTGATGGTCATTAGGCTCCTCTCCAGACTATATAAAAGACTGCTTGTGCCATACCCCTCTTTGCAGAAGTCAACGCTTTGACTAAAGAGAAACTAACTTGGCAGGCTGGATTGCTGCCAGAGTTTGTCTGAATTGCTGCAAAGGTTTGTCAGCCTT